CATTATTCTTTAGCATTGCATAGTATTCCATTGTGTGTATGTACCATAGTTTGGTTATACGATCACAATTTTTAAAGCAAATCTCCTTTGGCCCATCAATTCCAACCCGAAGTATCCATGGTACATAAATACTTGTGGTAGTATACTCAGTTATATTACTGTACAAGATGTTCACTGCAGCCTTTTTTTTTCATAATAGTGAAAAATGAGACATCACCATTCTGGTATAAAGAAAATTTAGGTGACCAAATGCCTGACTATCAAACTATGGGCTATTCTGCACAAGTAAGAAGATTTGTGTATTTAACATGGAAGGACCCCTATGATAAACCGGTAAGAAAGACAAGTTGCAGAACTGAATGTACAGCATTTTCATTTTGTTAATTAAACACAGAAACACACTCAACTATATATACATACACTGAAAAAGTTATAAACATACATACACCAAAAAGTGTTATTAGTTGTTATGTCTGGGAGGTAGTCAGGTACTGGAGTTAAGAAGAAAAACTCTTTTAAAATTTTTTGTATCCTCTTAACAGTTGGGCAATCCTACTTCCGTAGTGATACTGCCTCGGAAACCCAAGGAGGGGTCGCTATGAGTCAGGGCTGACTCGACGGCAAACAACAACAACAACAACAACAACAACAGAATTTTTAAAGAGGACCCATTTGCACACTGAAACTCCATTTCTTTCCTTCCAAGGAGGCAAAAATTTAAAGATTATTTTTTGAGTGATTGGGAGAGGTGAAAGCAGACAAAGAGAAAAAGGGAAGAAAGCACAGAAGGAAAGGAGGAAAGAAGTCTTGGTCTTAAGAAAAGCCTGTACAACACTACATTCTCATGAGGCAAAAATGAAAAGAATAGTTTGGATCTGTACCAGTTATAAATATAGCCCAGATTCATAAGAAAGAATTAATTTAGAATCCCTTCACCATGCCTAAATCCCCCCTGAACAGTTACCCAAAAACCCACTCCCTCAAGTCCATTCCAACTCATAGTGACCTTATAGGACAGAGTAGAACTGCCCCATAGGGTTTCTAAGGCTATATATCTTTATGGAAGCAGACTGCCTCATCTTTGTCCTGCAGAGTGGTTGGGGGTTTGAACCACCAGCCTTCTGGTTATCAGCCAAATGCTTTAACCACTACACTACCAGAGCTCCTTTAAATAGCTACAAAGGCCCAAATATGACAAGAGGTTGAGGACTTAAAGGTAGAGATGATAGGTTTTAACCTCCACTTCTCTTACCTCATCTTCAGGATCAGGATAAGGTCTCTTGCAAATGCAGTACAATCCAAAAAAGTTGTCATTGTACTTATTGCCTGAATTTACCTTTGCTTTATCCTGAAAGATAATTTCAATATGTAATATGGTCTCATTTTAACTACAATTTCACATATCATGAAATACATGCATTAAAAAAGCATCTTCCCCCTGAAGCTAGTTAACTTTCAAAGTCTAAAGGAGGAGAAAAAAAAAATCACTCCTATTAAAGGTATATTTTTCCCAAAATACAGGGAAAAATCAAATTTATTTTCCACAGCAATTGGGGAAAACTGAATATACCCATTCAATAAATGAAGATCAAAGTTGATTACTAATTATCAACCTATGTAAACTGACATTGACCTGAAATTTTGGGGTACTTCTTTATGCAGTGATAGTCAAGGATGCCAGATTACTAGATCAAAACTAGGCAAGGAAATTATTTAAAAATAACCTTCAAAGAAGGGAAAAGCAGGCCAGCTTTAGTAATTATGACTGAACAATGTGACACCACCTACTTTATCTTTCATTTCCGTTGTTTTACTAAAGGTTATTGTGCAAGCAGTTTTCATTAACTAAAAAGCACCAAAAAACTCTTGTGTGAATCTAGCCCACATTGACTGTTACCATGTTTTATTTATTCAGTTTGGAAAGTCATATTCTTTTCTTTAAAAGCCTCAGAGCATGAATACAACCTGCATAATTAAACTTGAAAAGCTTTAAAGAACATTTTCCCCTAAAACCTTTCATGTTAATTATAATCTGTATAGTAGGCTTTGCACAGGTTATACAGTTTTTTCAACAAAGTAAAATATAAAATACAGTCTACCCTTGATTTGACCATTTGCAAAGAAAAAGAATAAGAAGTTCCTTTTTGGAAAACATTTGGTGTTCACCCACTCCGGCAAATACCAACTTCAGCTTCTTTCTACACATTGTATAAAGTGCTTACTTACAGGAAATAATTTGCATTCCAAATTTTTAAACTTGCTGTTTCCACAATCACAACGAAAATTTCTGAAACAAAAGAGGAAGGGCCAATTTTATTTTTCTTTAACTGTAATAACTTATTCGTTAAATGCAAATCATATCCTATTCCTTTTTCTACTGTTTTTTTAGGATCTAAAAAGTGGCCTTGGGTTGCTGTTCATGTATCCAATTCAGAATTTACCCAAGCATGTATCAACCAAGAGGATTTTACATTCTGGAAATTAACGTGCGTAGAAACATACATACATACATACATACATATATATATATATAT